AGTTTTTAATGAAAATAATTTTATATAGGTATATTATGAACATCTAAACTTAGTAAATGAATCAAATTCATATATAGTTTCAGAAACAGAAATAATTTGTAAAATTAAGCATTTCACATATAAAACACAAAGGTAGTAATTTATATTATTTTGTATGAAGGACAAAAATGAAACAATTGATAAATTATGTACATGCATAATGTTCTACCATGACAAGGACCTAGAAAAAAATTTTCAAGGCGTAGCAAGTATTTATTTTCATTTACAATTCCATTTTACAGTCTGTCAGAGCAGGGATCACATTCACAGTCAAAAGCAGGGTGAGATGAATGCATGACTACTCAGTTAGCTTTCTCCTTATTATCCAGTCCAGGAGATGCTGCCAGATAATTAGCTGGTCTGCTCACCTTGGCCATCAAAATTAAGATAATCCCCTACAGACATGCCTTATTTTCAGTAACTGTGATTAAGCCCAGGGCCTCACACATGATAGGCAAGCTTCCTGTAGGCTGTAGTTGGCGCGGAGTCCTCCACTGCAAAGTGCAAGGCAGTTTTTAGCACAGGTTGGAACCCGTTTCCCTACCTTGAATGCATATATATACATACACACACACACACACACACACACACACACGCACACACACACACACACACACACACACACATATAGATAGATAGGTACACAGATAGATACACATATGTGTGCGTATAACCATATGTATATGTAGTTAGAACTTACAGATTAGCAACAAAGTCAGATTCATATTTAACAGTAAAGTGCTCAGTAGCTCACTTATTTGTGGCTATTGTGAAAGGTGTTGTTTCCCTGATTTCTTTCTCAGTTTGTCATTTGTGTACAGAAGGGCTATTGATTGTTTTGTTTTAGTCTTTTATCTATCCACTTCACAGGTATGTATCACCTGTGGGAGTTCCCTGTTTGAGTCTTTGGGGTCCTCATGTATTTTGTATCTCCTTGATTTCCTTCACATGTCTTATTGCTCTAGCTAGAACTTAGGTACTGGATTGAATAGATATGGAGAGAGTGGACAGCCTTGTCTTGTTCCTGATTGTAGTGGAATTGCTTTCAGTTTCTCTCCATTTAGTTTGATGTTGGTTCTAAGCTTGCTGTAAGTTGCCTTTATTATGTTTAGTTATGTTCCTTGTATCTCTGTGCTCTCCAAGAGGTGCGGAAATTTTTTTCCAGAGGCTTTTCTGGTATCCAAAGAGCTGATATTTTTTTCTTTCAGTTTGTTTTGATGGTGGATTACATTGACTGATTTTTCTATGTTGAAACACCCCTGCAGCTATGAGATGAAGCCTACTTGGTCATGGTGGATGATCTTTTTGATTTGTTCTTGGATTTGGTTTGCTTTTAAATATTTAAAAAGTAAGTATTTTACTGAGTATTTTTATTTATTTGTTTATTTAATACATCCTGACTGCAGTTTTCGCTCCCACAACTCTTCCCAATCTACCACCCCCTCTTGCTCCCAGATCCTCTCCTTCTGTTTCCATTCAAGAGCAGGCCTCCCAGGGATATCAACTGAATATGTCATAACAAGATACAGTAAGATGAGGCACCAGGTGATGTAACCAAGTAGTACAAAAAGGTCCCACATCAGATGAAAGAGTCAGAGATTTCATCCCACTATTAGAATTCTCACAAAATGCCAAAACAACCATAACATATATGCAGGCAACCTAGCACAGACCATGAAGATTTCTGCGTCAGTCTCTGTTAGGCACTATGAGCCCTGCTTAGTTGAATCAGTGGGCCCTGTTCTGGTATCCTTGACCCTTCAGGCTCCTGCATTTCTTCCTCCTTCTCTTCCATGGAATTCCCTGAGATCCAAGGGAAGGGACCCAATTGATGTTTTCAATTTGCACCCCTCTCTCTCTGGCTAATGTTTGGCTGTGGGTCTCTGCATCTGCTCCCAATGTCAGTGGGCAGTAGCCTCTTTGATGACAAAGATGGGCTAGGTACTGATCTATGAGTATATAAAGACATCATTAGCAATCATTTTATTGATTCGCTTTTCTATTCTAGGTCTCTGGGATATCCAGTCTCTAATTCTTGGTCACACAGGTAGTGTCAGGAATGTGTTCCCTCTCATAGTGTGGGCCTCAAACTAGACTAGTCATTGGTTAGCGACTCCCACACGTTCTGCACCTCCATTGCGCCTGTACATTTTGTAGGCAGAATAGATTATAAGTCAAAGGTTTGGGGGCAAGGTTGGTGTCCCAGTCCCAACTCTGGAAGCCTTGCCTGGTTACAGGGGATGATCGGTTTGGATTCTAAATCTTTCTCTACTAGGAACCCTCATTAGTTTCACCCTCATAGAGTCCCAAGAGTTTCTACTGGACTAGACTTCCAAATTGCCCCTGCCCAAATGTCCTCCAACTCCAATCTTCTCTCCCAGTACTCTCTCCCTCCATCCCCGACCCCTACCTGCCTGATCCTTCCTGCTCCCCTCCCCATCTGCCACCCACAAAAATCTATTCTTTTTCTGCTTCCCAGGGAGATCTATGTATCCCCCTTAGAGCACTCCTTGATATTTAGCCTCTCTGGGTCTGTGGATTAAAACATGATTATCATTGACTTAACAGCTAGTATCCACTTATAAGTGAGTGAAAACCATGTTTTTCTTACTGGATCTAGGTTATCTCACACAGCATGATTTTTTCTAGTTCCAGCCATTTGCCTGGAAATTTCATAATGTCATTTTGTTAAATAGGTGAGAAATACTACATTTCATACATTGCTTGGTTGAGGAACATCTAGGTTGTTTCCTGTTAGTGGTTATTATGAATAATATGAACATAGTTGAGCTAATGTCCTTGTGGTATGATTGAGCATTCTTTGGGTATGTATCAGGAGTGGTATAGCTGGGTCTTGAGGTAGATGGAATCTCAGTTTTCTGAGGAACTGCCATATTGATTTCCTTAGTAGTTATTCAAGTTTGCACTCTCACCACCAATGGAGTAGTGTTCCCCTTGCTACACATCCTCACCAGTAGGAGCTGTCACTTGTGTTATTGATCTTAGCCATCCTGACAAGCACTTAAGTCTTAGCACTGCTTTCAATGTGTTCCATAAATATGAGTCTGTTGCGCACTCATTTTCATTGAATTCTAGGAAGTCTTATTTCTTTCTTAATTCCTTCCTGACCCAGTAGTCATTCAGTAGAGTGTTGTTCTGTTTCCATGAGTTTGTGAGCTTTCTGTTCTTTCTGTTGTTGTTGAAATCCATCTTTAAACCATGGTAGTTTGATAGAATGTAGGGTATTATTTCAATTTTCTTGTATCTGTTGAGGCTTGCTTTGTGACCCAGTATGTGGTCGATTTTAGAGAATGTTGCATGAGGTGTTGAGAAGAAAGTATATTCTTTTGTGTTTGAGTGAATCTATCTCTCTCTCTCTCTCTCTCTCTCTCTCTCTCTCTCTCTCTCTCTCTCTCTCTCTCTCTCTGGCTTACAACATCTTTTAGCCCCAGTATTTCCCAGTTTAGTTTCATTCTGGATGACCTGTCTATTGGTGAGAGTCGGGTATTGAAGTCTCCTGTTATTAATGTATGAGGGTCAATGTGTGATTTAAGTTTCAGTAATGTTTCTGTAATAAACATGGGTGCCCTTGTATTTGAGGCATAGATGTTAAGAACAGAAAAATCATCTTGGTGGGTTTTTCCATTGATGAATAATGGTGTCCTTCCCTAGTCCTCTGGTTAATTTTGTCTTGAAGTTAATTTTGATAGATATTAGAATGGTTACACTGGCTTGTTTTTTATATCCATTTCCTTGAAAAATCTTTTTTCAGTCCTTTACTCTGAGGTAATGTATATCTTTGATGTTGAGGTTATGTTTCCTAAATGCAGCAGAAAGATGGATCTTGTTTTTCATCCATTCTGTTAGTCTATCTTTTTATTGGGGAATTGAGTCTATTGATATTGAAAGATATCAATGACCAATGATAGTTAATTCCTGTTTTGTCTTTTTACTTGCTCTTGTTGATGGTAGTGGTGTGTGTGTGTGTGTGTGTGTGTGTGTGTGTGTGTGTGTTTCTCTACTTTTCATTTTGCTGGTGTGAGATTATTTATTTCCTGTGCTTTTGTAGGTGTCGTTAACCTTTTGGGTTGGAGTTTTCTTTCTAATACTAGTGGATCTAATACTAGGGCTAGATTTGTGGATAGATATTGTTTAAATTTGACTTTATGTGGGATATCTTGTTTTCTGCTTCTATGGTGATTAAAAGTTTTACTGGGTATAGTAGTCTGGGCTGGCATCCATCGTCTCTTGGAGTCTGCAATATATCTGTCCTGGCCCTTCTGGCTTTTAGATTCTCCACTGAGAAGCTGGGTATAATTCTAATAGGTCTGCCTTTATATGTTACTTGCTTTTTTGCCCTTGCAGCTTTTAATATTTGTTCTTTGTTCTAAACGTTTACAATTTTGCTTATATGTTCTCAAGGGTACTTTCTTTTCTGGTCCAATCTATTTGATATCCTATAAGCTTCTTGTACCCTTATAGGCATGTCCTTCTTTAGGTCAGAAAAATTTTCTTCTATGATCTTGTTGAAAATATTTTCTGGGCTTTTGAGCTGGTATTCTTCTCCTTCTGTTCTTATTATTCTTAGGATTTTTTTTTATAGTGTTCCAGATTTCCTGGATGTTTTGTGTTAGGAATTTTTTAGATTTAACATTTTCAGTGACCAATATATCTATTTATTCTACTGTATTTTCAGCTCCTGAGATCCTCTTTCCCATCTCTTTTACTCTGTTGGGGATGCTTGTATCTGTAGTTTCTGTTCACATACCTAAATTTTTAATTTCCAGAATTCCATCAGTTTGTGTTTTCTTTATTATTTTTATTTCCATTTTCAGGTCTTGAAGAGTTTTATTCATTTCTTTCAAGTGCCTATTTGTTTGTTTTCTTGGCTTTTTCTAATTTTATTCTAATTTTTTCCTTGATTTCTTCAAGGGATTTATTCATTTCATAAAGTTAGTGTGTGTGTGTCAGGGGTTGCCACAGTACATGCAGGGGGCAGAGAACAGCTTGCAGGAATAGATTTTCTCCTTTTACCATGTGGGATCCAGGGATTGAACTCAGGTCATCAGGCTTGGCAGCAAGTGTCTTTCTCCATAACACATCTCACAATCTGAAACATGCTTAGTTTTCTTTAAAACACAGTTTCAATCTAGAGAAGAAGTGCTACTTAAATGGATGCCAGCAGGAACGGAGAAAACCCTTCTGTTGTAGATCTTGAGTACGTTCTTGTTTCAGTTTAAGAACGTTTCCGAGTTCCTGCATTCCCAGTGAAGAGAGCTAGACAAGCTCACCCACAGGCTGGGTTGGGTTGTCATTCTTTTGACCCCAAGTTCACATTTATTCAGGTGTAGCTGTTAGATGACACAAATCTATCTTGAATTCCTTTATACAATGCATATCATTCTTGATCTATCAAGAACAACAATTATAGCAAATTAATTCTTTTCAATACAGTATTAAAAATGTTCCTGACACTCAGCATTCCTTAGTTGCCTGTAGTTCTTTGTGTAGGGTTGATGCTTCCCAGGCTTCCCCCTCATGCTATGAGCATGTCTACTATTGCTGTCCTTGGAAGGTGGGCAAAGAATTTTTGTAATTATACTATAATTTCAAACAAACAAAAATAATTTTAGAAGATATCAAAGGAATGAAAGAAGGACACTGATGCACTTCTCTGAATCTATCTTCTGTTCTTCACTTTGGCCTTGGAAGCTTCAGATTTTCATTAGAGGACCGCACATCACAATGCTGAGAGAGAGAGAGAGAGAGAGAGAGAGAGAGAGAGAGAGAGAGAGAGAGAGAGAATCATGTGAATATGGTTATCAGCTGTTATTCAGAAATTCATACCACATACACAGCATAAATACATGATTAGTTTGTCTGTATAGAACACAACACAATGATGTGTACAGTAAAATGATCATCTTGTTTCTGTTGAAATAATAGGGAAAAGAGTCAATACTTTATTAATGACAAAAATAAAAGTGTCTTGCAGCTTACTAAAATTCAAAATATGTTTCTTAGTGTTTGATTTTGAGGAGGAAGAAAAATGATGAGTCTTTTGGGGTGAGGCTTTACAAAGAGTTTACCAAAAGGTTCAAGGCTATCATGATTTATAGGTATCTAAGTTGTAAAGTGTGAGAGGCTGCTTTCTTTGTAGAGTACTCTTCTGTGCTGGGGTTAGTCACCAGAATCCATGGGCAATAAATGCCTATTGCTTACACTATTAAGATGATGTGCCTACCATAAGTAGTATCAGTGAAATGTAAACAATATCCTTTACAAGCATACACACACTTCACATAGGGATCAGATACCTTTTTAAGTGATTGATATTTTCCTTCCTTCAGTCATTTCTATTTCATTTAATATTTTAGTTATTTGTATTTATCAATAGCAAAATACTAGATTACCTTCAGTTATGGTTCATAGATTAGTGGAGAGTAACTCTCAAACCAGTTTGAAGGAACAGTCCATCACACTGTTTCACATATTTGACTGCCCTAGGCTTCTGTGACCACTAGCTACTTTTTTGCTGAAACACTACATAAGTACTTCATAGTATTTTCAGATAATTGTTATGACCATAATAATTGATAGCATTTACCAGTGTGTCACCTTGAATTAATTTACTCTCAAGTGATTTGGAATTAATTAAATTTTATTTTAATACAGAAAGTTTGTAGCAAAAGTTTTTATAATAGAATTAGATTTTACTTTAGAAAGAATTTTTGATGAAAGATTTGATAAGTCTAAAAAGTCTTCTATAATCCACTTAAATATGTTTAAATCAGCATAGTATAAAACAGTTTTCATAGGAAGTTTTCAAATACTATGATATTATTTCAATGAATTTTTAGATCTGGATTCATGCATGCATTTTTGGTACTAGAACTGAATAACTCACTACTTCTTGGAAGAATCTTATTATAAACTACATATTATTATGCAACTTCATGCTATCATATAGGAATTCAACTGTCATAATTAAGATGGAAGACATTATAAAATCATAGAAATAGAAATTTGAAATAAATGTATAGCTTTTATATCAAACTTCATATTTAAAAAGGAATGAAATAATCACATACTTGTAATACTACTGAAAGAAATAATACTGTACTTGTCTGTATATTAACTGTTATCTGTACTGCATACTTTCATAGGCCATGTATGCCCAGTAATATATTATGACCTGTCTCAACTAAGGTTACAGTTGCTGTGATCAAACACCATGACCAAATTAGCTTGTGGAGGAAAGGATCTATTCATTTACACTTTTGGGAAACGATCTATCACTGAGGGAAATCAGGGCAACAACTCAAGCAGAACAGGAACATGAAGGCAGGAGCCGATACAGAGGCCATGGAAGAATGTTGTTTATTGGATTGTCCCTTAGCTCTTACTAGTCCTGATTTCTTCAACACCTCAAGGACCATCTACCCAGGCCTGGCACCACTCACAATAGGCTGAGTCCTCCCATAGAACCAACTAGAAAAATGCACCACAAGCTTGCCCACAGGCAAGTCTGGTGAGGATGATTTTTGTTTTGTTTTGTTTTGTTTTTCATGTTATCTCTCCTAACATTACTCCAGCTTTGGTCAAGTTGACATAAAACTAGCCAGCACAGGACCTTTAAATATACTAACACGTTCCTTTCCACCATCATATGAGATATTTATGATTATTACCCCCTATAGAATTTTAAATGAATAATGAGGCACCTAGTGATCAGATGACATAGTCTACGGTCATATAGTGAGTAAGTAATAGAGCCACGGTGAAATGCAGAAGTCTGACTGTATAACTTCATGCTGTACCCATCATGATAAAAATGTTCTTCTCTTAGTCATTGTTTTGTTTCTTTCCAAATTAAAAATAAATAATGTAAGTCCAAGGATTATATGTCTCTGGTCTTATTCAGAGTAATATAAATTGAAGATTACCAACTACTGTGACATATATGTGAAATATCTCCCAAAGGCATAAGTGTTAGAGAACTGGTCCCTATCTGTGGACTGGATCATGAAAGTGCTGACTGTATTAAGGACTTAATCCATTTTTCCATTCATAGCTAATTGTGTTGTTAAGTGATAGGACCTAGTTAGAGGAACTCACTGGAAGTGTGCCTGAGAGGAGTGTGACTATAGTATCTCCAGATACTTTCATTCATTTTTCTCATCTTCTTTGTTCCTGTAAAGCACAATGAACAGATTTCCTCCATCATACACATCTTGCTATTGTTTGTGCTTCTCAAAAAAAAAAAAAAAAAAAGCAATGGAGGCAGCTGAGAACAAAAAACTTCTGAAAGGCCATAATAAACTTTCCCTACCTTAGTTGACTTTGAGGTATTTCCAGTGACAGAAGCATGTTAAACAAGTAAAACTGTTATGACAAATGGATTCTTGCTTGTGACTTATTTGACCATGTATTTCAGAATCCCATGAATCTAGTTTTCAGGAAGAATTTGGAAAAGTTTGGAGAATAAGATTTACAAAAAGCTTGGCATGCTGGAAAGAGTTTAATGGACAGTTTTGGTGAGGACATAGATGACCTGTGTGGTAGTTTGAATGTAATTGGCCCCCATAAGGTCATAGGGAGTGGCATCATTAGAAGGTGTGGCTTTGTTGAGTGGGTGTGGCCTTGTTAGGGGAAGTGTGTCGCTGTGGGAGGTGGGCTTTGAGGTTTCCTATGCTCAGAATACTGCCCAGTGTCTCAGTGGATTTCCTGTTGTCTGCATGATATAGGACTCTCAGTTACTTCTCCAGCGCCATGTCTGTCTGCATGCCCTCATGCTCCCTTCCATGATGATAATGGACTGAACCTCTGAAACTGTAAATGAGCCACCCCAATTAAATGTTTTCACTTATAAGAGTTGCTGTGGTCATAGTGTCTCTTCACAGCAATAAAAACCCTAAGATAACTATACTGCTGATAGCGATGTAGGTAGTAAATAATGTCTTTATAAGGTTTTATAAGGAAGTGAAGACTCCTAGAAGTCTCACTAGAGGTCCTTTGTGTCACACTGTGGCAAAGAACTTGCCTGTATTTTTTTGTTGCCCTAAAGTGGTGGGATACAGAGGTTAGAAAAAAAATGGGAAAAATCACCGGGAGGAAGAGATTCCAGAGCTTGACAACATTCAGCCTGTGATGTAGAAATTATTATCTGTTTTAAGTCAAGTTTGCTATGAAAATTATGAGTGAAAATTAGTATGTAGTGTTGTGGAAAACTCGAAAGTTGGACAGATGAGGACATTTAAGGCTGCGGTCAAGAAAGGTATAGTTTTTGAAAAGTATAGTAGCACTGAAGAGAAAGTGAATACTTTGTACTGGGAAAATGTTGAAGATGTCTTGAATGAATCTCAGAAACTGTATAGCACCCATATATCATAACCTCAAGGGATTAAAAGTGTGAATTAATTTGAAAGCCTTCACTTAGAAAAAATAGATATGATTAACATATCACCAATCATTTGTCCCTTGGTCATAACAATTAATCTCAAAAATGGAATGAAACTACCATGCATTTACACCCTAGATGCTCTCTTTCTTCTCTCCCATCTTCCTATTTCTCCTGCTCTCCGTTTCACCAATTTCTTATTTTCCTGTGTTAAATAGTGCATTGCAGTAACCAAAGAGATAAACAAGTAGCCACAAGGCTGTATAAAAGGTTTTATAATTATTGCAATAAGATCAAGAATGTGATAGTATCCACATGAAAGAATATAGTTAAAAATATTTTGGAAACAATAATTCAAGTATTATGAACTTAAAATGTAAATATCTCTAATATATAAAATTCACTTTGCTGCATAATTTATTTATTCTGTGAGTATTTGCCACTTATTTTACTAACATTAGTGATTTTAGGCTTTGGATTGTATTCTAAAACATTACTAATCATTAATATGAGGTTTATAACCCACCATATGTAGCAGGTGGGAGAGCTGGCCCTGAGGTCATGAGAACCAGTGAACTGGATTGACACCTCACCAGCTGCAGCACTTGGGAGAGCAGGCTCTGCACCATGCCTAGGCACCACAGTAAGCTGGCTCTGCTGGCCAGGGAGCTGGTGATCCTGCCTAGAAGTCCTGAGAGTGGGAGAGCTGGCCCTGTACCCCTTATCTGTCCTGTGTTGTTGATAGTGAGGGAAAGATGCCCTCCTCCTCCCCCCTTGCCACCCGAGGCAGATGAGAGAACTGCCCCTGCCCCTCATCAGAGTAGCACTTGGGAGAGTGAGCACCTCACCAGAGCAACACAGTAGAGCTAGCCCCAATGACAAGGGCAAGGGTCAGCCCGCCCCAAGAAGATAAGCATGAGAGATCTGGTCCCGGCCCATCATCTGCCCTATTGTGGTATGGGCAAGGGAGAGAAGACCATCTCCCCGCTCAAGGCCTGTGGCAGGTGAGAGAGTTGTCCCTGAGGTCACAAGAGCAAACGAGAGAGAGTTGGCCTTGCCTCTCACTACCTACAGCACTGGTGTAGCTCACCTGAGCAACACAGTAGAGCTGGCATGGTAAAAGTGTAGGTGAGCTGACCAGAGGACATGAGAGCAGGAGAATGGCCCTGCCCCTTGCTGTTTACTACAGCAGGATGAACTACCCAGGGTGGTGCTGGAGAGCTTGCTCTGGTATTGAGGATGAGGGAGAGATGGAGGGCTGATTTACCCAGAATCATACTTTGTTTTATCCTAGCTGGGGTGGCAAGGGTAGAGAGCAGATGGGAAGGGATGGAGAGATGAGTGGGAT